GATCTTGGCAGAAAAGCAAGCAAAGCTGGACACTCAACATACATGCCTGTGGATACGAAGTTGGAAGCAAACGGTGGGGACGTGGGAGAAGTTCACGGAAGACTTATTTTTGAAGGGAAAATAGAAGTTCTTAGGGCCAGCCAGATAGCTCAGTGGATTCAAGTGCCTGGTTTGGCAGACTCTGCGACTGGGTTCGATCCCCAGCCTGTTGTGCTGGCCTGCCCCCAGCACACTGAGACAGTGATTGAGACTGGGCGTAAGGGCACGTGCTTGTAATCCCAGCACTTGGGAGGCTGAAAACAGGAGAATCATTATGAGTCTGATCTGTGCAGTGAGACCCTATAGACCCTGTACTAAAACAAAACAACAACAACAACAACAACAACAACAACAACAACAAAAAACAGTTCTCTAAGTTAAGGCAGAGGATGAAATGCCATGTAGAAGGAATGGCATGTCAGTCCTGGAAACATGAGAAAATGTGAGCGTCCCAAGAACTACATTTAGGAAAAAGAAGAGCTAAGAATGCATTGAACGTCAGAATATTCTAAGTGTAGTACTAGGGGCCAGCGAGATAGCTCAGTGGACTAACTAAAGTGCCTGCTTAGGAAAGCTTAAGCAAGTGCAAGACCACAGTTCCCAGAACCACATGCAGTGCCAGCTCCTCCCCCAGAGCAGGCTGAGCCTGCCACAGGTCAAGTGTGGTAGCCCATGTCTGTAATCCCAGCGCTGGGGAGGCTGAGAACAGGAGGATCACTACAAGTCCTAGCTGCGTAGTGAGACCCTGTAACAACCAAATACATTAAAAATTAAATAAAATAAAACAAATACAGTACTAGACACACATCATCACGTTTAATCTGCACAACAGCCATTGAGGTAGGAGGGAGAAACTTGAGACTCTGAGAGGTTAGGTAAGTTTCCCAGAGTCATACACATTTCCTCAGTCAATAGCCTGATTTCAAGCTAGAGGGGCAAGAGCTGGGAGCTGGGGCTCCAGAGGTCAGCAGGGTCCAGATGAGAAGATCTGGATGCCGGCTTCTCAGGGCTTTGGGACTGTATTAATCGCCTCTTGCTGCTGGGACGAATACCCGACCCTCAAGCTTAGGGAAGGAATGGTTTATTTAGCTCACAGTTACTGGAGGTTTCAAGACACTGGAGGAGAGTCTGGGGCACTGCCCTATCCGGGATGATCTGCTCCGTACTTCTCAGAAAGCACAGGCTAGCTAGTTTAATGGGTTTTGCCTCTCTGGCCCCGCCCCTTGGACCCTGCCCTGGTCCTCTGGCCCCGCCCCTTAAGCCACTTGTTGCTCCTCCAGCAGCGTCAGTCCCATAACTTACATGAGGCTTTGGGGGCCAACTAGACACAAACCATAACAGGGACCCAGAGCTGAATCCCGAGGCCTCGTTCTCCCAAGGTGCAGGGCCCAGCCTGGGTGAAGCTCACAGCAGGAAGGGCCCAGCCACATGGCCCTGGCAGTCGAGCATCTTCCTCAACAGCCACTGCCCAAGGTTGGGCAATAGTTGGGCAAATGGCCCAAGGCCATTTCCCCAGAGTGTGTACTCACAGATGGCACCTGCTTTGGCAGATGGGTGCAGGGGCTGGGCAAGGTGACAGAGAAGGGATCCAAGGGCTCCTTCATCTTTCTACCTCCCACCTCTCTCCCCACAGGTAGCATCATGTCCACTTCAGGGTGGCCTTTGGTGCAGACTGACTGTGACTGGACACTTGTGACATCTAGTCCAGTGTAAGGGAGCTACTCCTCCCCTCAGGAGGGCCTCAGAGCTCTAGATTACATGGCTTGGCCCTGGCCTACCTGGCACAGCCTCCAGCCCTCAACAGAGCCACACAGCCCATCCCCTGGCCACCCAGGTCTTTCTTCCCTGTCAGCTCTGTGGGGCTCAAGGGTTCGGACCTGATATTGGCAGGGACCTGGGATGACTGAGAGCAGGGGAAAGCACTGAGCTAGGGAAGGAGCTGGGAACCTTGGGCAGGAACCCCCAAAATCTCTGTGCACACCCCAACAAGGGGGCTATGGCTAAGGGTGTGTCAGCACCACACACAGGGCAGGTGGAGGGAGGAGGTGAGGAGCGCCAGCTCGGCCTCCAGCCCTATCCGTGCCATGGTGAGGCTGGGCTCCAGCCCTGGGTGCTGCTGTCTTACCCACCACACTCCTGCCTCCTCTGTGTCTCAGATCCCAGTGGTGTGAAGCTGTGTGAGAGCCTGAGGAAGATGGGGCTGGCCTAGGAATGATGTGGGAATGAGGAGTGCTAAGGAGGGCAGGAAGAGTCCTTGGCAAGCAGGCAGGGAAGTATGGCACTGTTAAGGAGCAGGCAGGCAGGCCGGTGCAAACCCAACAAATTTCAGCCCAGCCTGAGGGCCCGCCCCTCCCTTGCATAGACCCTTACGTCCCACCTTAAGAGCTGCACTGTATCTGCTGAGGCCACTGCACGTCAGTGTCTGCAGAGAAGACTTTCTACTGCAGCCTGTCCTGACCTAAGAGACAGCCTGCCCGAGGGCTTTCAGTACACCCGGCCCACCTGAGCTGGTGGTGAGGGTGCCGCAGACCCTGAGCAAACTCAAGATCCCCTCCTCTCAGTCCCTTTTTATGCCACTAAACTTAGGAGAGTTGGGCCTAGTCACCCTCCCTCCTGCTCTGCAGCCTGCCACTCCCCAGAACCCAAAGAGGAGGCTTATCTACGCCCCTGAGGGCCATCCCAGAGCTTCCCTGCCCCTCCCTCAGGCTCCCCATTATGTCCTGTTTGAAAGTAGAACAGCCCTTGGTGAGACCAGGTGGGTGCTGGGTGCACCCCATTATTTGATAGCACAAATATTTTTGCTGAAAGCTAATTTTTATGCAACCCTGAGCCTTGAAGACTACAAAAAGGGAAGAGTTGGCTGAGACTGGTAGAATCTGTGAGAGAAAGCATTTTAACTGGAAAAAGAATGGGGGAGGGGAAGGAAAGGATTATAAGTAATGCCCTGGGGAGGCAGACAGGTCCTTCCTTATGTAGTGTTTTGTTTTTAATGTATTTGGTGCATGGTCTCACTAGGCAGCTTGGGCTCCTAATGATCCTCTTGCCTCAGCCCTCCCCAGTGCTGGAATTATAGGCATGTGCCACCATGCACATACCTAGATGGCTGGCTCAGCATGCCTGGGGGCATGTGGTTCTGGGGATCGAACTCCAGTCCCTGCACTTGCCTAAGCAGGTGCTTAGTCTGCTGGGCTATCTCACCAGCCCTCCCTGTGCAGTGTTTGACACTTGGGGTCCCCAACCTACCAGGCCCCCATAGCCTCTCCAGTCTGATGCATCAGTCCTGGCTGCCTAGAGCCCCCTTCACTCACCCAGGCTGGGGAGGTACCCTGGGCTCAGGCTGAGCTGTAATCATGACATCTCTGTCCTGCACTGGTGGCTCTTGGGACCCCCTTATCTGTTCCTGAACTGGCAGCTGGTTGCTGCGGAATGCAATGACCTGGAGTCCCTGTTGGAGGTTTACACATCCGTGCATTCCTTCATTTGCTGGGTTAGAGATAGGATCTCAGTGTTTCCTTTGACACCTCCAGCAAGAAGCACCATGGGCCTAGCCCAGGAGAGGGCAGAGGACGTAGTGAGAGTCTTTAGCTTGTGAAATCTTGGGCGTGAATCCTGTATTGAACTGCTTCTGTGATTATGTCCAAGTCCCTCTTTTGGTCTGAACCTTATTTATCTCCCCATTCCAATGCATTTGTGTTCAGCAGGGCACAAGCCTAAAATCCCAGCACCCCAGAGACTGAGGCAAGAAAGAGGATCACAAGTCTGAACTCAGCCTGGTAACTTAGCAAGATCCTATCTCGGAATAAAATAAATAAACGAAAAGCTGGGGATGTACAAAGGCACGGAGCTAATTTTCTTTTTATATGAAGATGTATCCAAGTGTATTCACGTAAAATGCAGTTACCGAAGGCTTACTATGTGCCAGGAAGCAAAGAGGCAAGACTGATGCAGCTGACTCTCAGAGCTGGCAGTGTAGTGCGAGAAGCAAACAGCAGCCCGAACTAAGACAGCAGTGAATGTGCAAATGCAAATGTTCTTGAGCGCTAAGAGCAGCTCCACACACGTTTTGGGGTTTTGTTTGTTTTGGTTTGGTTTTGGGTTTGGGTTTTTTTGGGTTTTTTGGGTTTTGTTTTGGTTTTTGGTGGAACTAGGAATTGAACTCAGGCCCTCGAGCTTGCCAGGGAAGCACTTATTCTACTGAGCCATCTCCATGACCCCACACACGTTAACAGACTCTATGACTCCCTTGGAGGGTGGTAGTGGTAGCCAGGGAGTAACTGTCGTTTGAACAGAGTCCTGACAGATCCGTGAGTATGGTCAGCAATTATCTTGAGTACTGGGGGATTAGAGGCCAGGTGTGGCTCCTCGGTGGGCCTCAGTTTCCCCAGCTGCACAATGAAGACCAAATATATTGATTCGTGAGGTCAGGAGGCAAGTTTGTTTAATGAACATTTTCGGAGGCAAGGGACTCAAAAGCCACCCTGACGCATATCCTCCCCTGCGTCAGGGAGCTGCGTGACCCAAGCTGAGCACCCTTCTCAGCGCCCCGGGAGTTTAACCCCAATGCTACAGTTGCTCTGGCAGCGACACCAGCAGCTTTCCGCGTTCCGCCGGCAGGGTCACAGTGCCACCTCGTGGCTAAGGAGTATTTTAACACTTGGTTTCAGGTGGGTGTGAGTCTAAGGAGCTTCTAAGGAGCTTCTCCCCACAACTCAGATTCTCCCGCTACTGCGCTTCAAGCAGAGTGATGCTAAGTCACAGCGAACAAACGTTCCCTGCTGGAGCAACTGTACAAGAGGTCTGTCTTTTTATCTCCAAGAGAAGTGTAGGGTGGCGTAGCCCCGCCCTTCCCCGCCCTCACTAACTCCCAGATGCAGACAGCAGCCTTTAACTGCGCCTGCGCGCCTCCACACACGCACACGCCTTCGCCAACATAATATGTCCTATACGCCACTCCGTCTGTTTCCAAGGCAACCCCGGGGCCTCTAAGCAACCGCGCGCGCAGCCCAGAGCCGGCCTCCTACGCCTTTCCCTTGCCATGACCGCGGCGAATCCCAGTGTTTTCCTGCTCATGGTAAACGGCCAGGTGGAGAGCGCCCAGGTGAGCAGCCCCGGACTGCACCAGGGGCCCATCATCCAGTCTCCTCCGGGTTCTCTTTCCGCAATCCCGAGGGCTGCTTGCTTCCTGGCTCGGGTCGGTGTCATCCCTCTGAGCTGCTCGGTTAGGCTAGGGAAGGCCCTAAGAGGCATGGTGCCAGGTTGCTGGGGAATCTTAGCTTCAAGGTGCAGTTGTAGAAGTACTTCTCGAGAGGTTGAACTGGTACCGACGTCACAGTTTGCCAAGCCTGTGGACCCGGGCTCGGATCGTGTCCACTTGGCTGAGTTACTGACACGAGCCTTCAGTGACTAACGGGAGGAGTCTCAGCGAGCACACAGGGCCTCCTCCTTAAAGGACTGTCTGAGGCGTCTGCGCTGTATGGACTCTATTGCCCCGCTAGCCAAACCCCCATGCTTGAACTTGGATAAGATCAGGATGTTTTATTAGTCTGACCCAAGGATGGTGGTGGTCTTGACTGTTCCAGGGAGAGTGTATTTGTAAGACTGAAGACCCTACTCACCATCTGACCTACAAGAACTATTTATCATAATTAAAACCTAATCTTCACCAGGTGCTCACTTTGTGCAGCACTCAGAGTTCTACACTGCTCTTTCAATCCTCAGAGAAACCTTTCGCGGCATGTGGTGTTAAGTCACAGCGAACAAACGAGAAGTCATGTAAGTTAGGCTCCTCTTCCTAAATGGTTGTAAGATTAAATAAGTCCCTGCCTTATGGCTCGAGAAACTTGCCTGAAGGTAGTGGCGAAGCTGGAATTTGAGCATCGCTTTGCTACACTGTTCTTCCAGGCTGCTGGACATGACTCTCATGAATAGTATGAGAAATGGCTAAGATGGTTTAGGTAGTTCTCCCAGGCCTGATGCTCAGCAGGAATCTGCTGCCTTCCTGGTCCATCGGGATACTACTCCACCCACCCAGCCCCACCCACCTCCACCCTCGGCCTGGCACCCAAAACCATCCTCCTGTTTCCTGTTCTGCCCTGTGAGGATCCCCCAACTGGGCTGGATGCTTTCAGCACCCTCCATCCCTGATGCACTTCTCTCTGGCCTGGGCCCCTCCCTGCCCTCCAGCCTTCTACTCCACCAGTGCTTGTGTTCTGTGTTCTTATGGCTTCTTGGGTTCTTAGACCTTTTGCATAAGCATTATTCCCTTAGATCTCATTTGTGTTCACCCCTGTAGCAGAAAATGGGAACACGGAAAACTGAAACCTGTTTCCTCTTCACAGTCTAATGGGGATGACAAAGACACAGGTAATAGAGGAAAGAACAGAGGCCGAAGGAGCCAAGAGGTGACCCTTACAACAACCTGGGAGTCAAGGCAGGCTCTCTGAAGGGTGTGTTTTGAAGGATGAGGAGTATGGGAAAGGCATATAAGACAGAAGGCAAAAGCTAGTCACGGTGGTACACCTTTAATCCCAGCAGGAGAATCACCATGATTAGAGGCCAGCCTGCGCTACATAGTGAGTTCAAGACCAGCCTAAGCTATGTAAGAAGACCCAGTCTCAAAGAAGTAAAAAACAAACAAACAAACAAACAAAAGAGCCTGAGCAAAGAGGCCATGGCGCAGTAGCAGCTGGGCCTGTCTTTCCCACAAGCTACTTAATCGCAGGCCCAAACCTCGGCTGAACTCCATGTCTAGGTTCCCCAGTGCCTTGTGTTCAGAATTCCTGTCAGATGCTCCTGCCCAGCCAATACGAGGGTCTCAACTTGAGTCCCAGGGAACATGATCCCTATGTGCTTTCTCTGCAGTTTCCAGAGTATGATGACCTCTACTGCAAATACTGCTTTGTGTACGGCCAGGACTGGGCACCCACCGCGGTAAGCTGGGACCTTGGGCCTACTTTACTCCTGGCCTTTTGTGGTCAAGGTTTTTGAAGATGACTCACACACATATGGTCTTTCCAAAACCAACTGAGAAGTAGACAGTGAGGTCAGAGGGGACCTAAACAGGAGATTGTTCCTTCCTTGTGAAGCTGGTACAGAGAATACAGCCACCACTGGAGTCCCTGATGTGTCCCCCATCTGCACACCCTCACATAGCCTTTCCTATGAATTGGCACTGGTGGTCAACAGCGATGAATAGGCAAGCCCCAGACAGACAGCCAGGAATAGCTGAGTTGTAGATGTGCTGGGCCAGTCTGCTCCGCAGGGGTACTGAGGAGCTCCAGAGGATTGGGTCAGATTGGGGGCTCTCATCCCAAAGCCTCTCAGGGAAGTGAGATAAGAGATGAAGAAAGATGTGGAGGTGAAGAGCTCAGCCGGCAATAGGCTTTATACCTGCAAAGCACTTATGTAATCTTATAACCATTTAGGAAGAGGAGCCTGACTTACATGACCTCTCTGAGCCTCAGTTTCATCTGTACAGCTGACCCAGTAGTACCTACTTTCCATTAGCCATCCATTGATATAACTATAATTGAGTTTTCTAGATGTTAAGGATAACCATGGTGATCAAAGCCAGACAAAAATCCTTGTCTTGACAAGTATGGTGGCACACGCCTGTAATCCCAGCACTCAAGAGGCTTGAGGCAGGAGGATCACCATGAGTTCGAGGCCAGTCTGAATGACATAGCAAGACCCTGTCTTGGAAAAATAAAAATCCTTGTCTTCCTAGAGTACATGTTTTTGGGGAGATGCATACTAAGTCGTACAGATTCTTTTATGTTAGCCGATAGTAGGTATTAGGAGGAAAAAAAGAGAGAGAAGGAAAAAAGGAAGGGAAAGAGGGAGGGAGGAAGGAAGGAAAGGAAGGAAGGAAGAGAAAAGAAGGAAAGGGAAGGGAAGGGAAGGGAAGGGAAGGGAAGGGAAGGAGTAGGGGCTGGGGAGATGGCTCAGTGGAATGAGTGCTTCCCTGGCAAGCACAAGGGCCTGAGTTCAATCCCCGGTGGGGAGGAAGGAGAGGTTTCATCTGGTTTCTGTGTTGAGACTATAGACTGGAAGCAAGGGGCAAGAGGGGGTGGCCAGCAGGTTACACAGGGCACAGCTGAGAGAGAGGGCTTTGTGGGTGGTGAGGCATGGCTGAATTCCATGAGGCCTTTTAAGATAGAGCCACCAGGTTTTCCTGCTAGACAGACATGAGGCAGGAGGGAGCCTGAGCACTTAGCAATACAAGAGTTGCTGTCTCTCTGAGAGAAGACTGGATGAAGCAGATTTTGGAGAACAGTCTAGAGCTCAGACTGGTGCATGTAAAACCTGATATGCCACTCACTGGACAGCACGTGGAACTATGGTGGTGGCAGCAGCGATGCTGATCTGGGGTTCAGAGAGGACATAAAACTGGGCCTCACCAACATACAGAGCAATTGAGAGCCATGGGCCAGTGAGGTCATTGAACACAGGTAGAGCAGTGGCCAAAGCCAATCAGATACTGCAACACTACAAAGGGGCGGAGTGACTGAGCAGGAGTCACCCAGGGAGATAAAGACAGCCCGAGAAACCAAGGGAAGCAAGTGTATCAAGCAGCCAGGCAAGTTGGCATATGCTGGTACTCCAAGCTGCTCAAGAGGCTGAAGCAGGAGAATCAAGACCAGTTGGGCCACTTGGTGAGCCCAAACACACACACACACACACACACACACACACACACACACACACACACAGTTTTTAAAAAAAAAAAAACAGCAGAAGCAGATCAGCTTCCAGAAGTGAACAGATCTGTCCGATGTTCCGATGGGTCAATGAGGACAGAAATGACTGCTGGAAATAGCAATCTCAAGGTCACTGTTATTTATAAAAACCCTTTGGTAAGTAGTAGAGCCAGTAGACACATCAGAGTGGACTCACCAAAGAATAGCAGAGTGGGGCTAGTAAGTGTGACAAGTCTTAGGAAGGATTTGCCACTACACGGACTAGAGAATGGGTTGGTAGGTGGAGGAAGAAATAGTTGCAAGAAGATTGGTTGTGATAGAGTTGACATACATGTATGCATGGGTGATACAGGAGAGAAAGTACAGACCTCAGGACTGCCATCTCCTTGGGGCAAAAGGGGAGGTGCTTCTGTGCTCAGGGAAGGGTCTGGCTCTGGTAAGATAATGAATTCATTTACCAGACCTAAGAGGCATTCTGTTATCTCTTAGTTATTTTTGTTTTGCGGTGCAGGTCTTGCTAGAAGGTGGTTGAGTAAACACCTTTCCCAACTGCCTGCTCAAAGTAAGGGGAAGGGGCATGGCCATCTGGAACTCAGATCAGCTGTCCCTGTCATTGTCCCACAGGGCCTGGAGGAGGGTATCTCACAGATTACATCCAAGAGCCAAGATGTGCGGCAAGTGCTGGTGTGGAACTTCCCCATTGATGTCACCTTTAAGAGCACCAACCCCTATGGCTGTGAGTCTGCAGGCCTGGAGGATGGGGGCTTGAGGGGCTGGACCTCTTCTGTGGCACCCCCAGACTAGCTTGTTCCTCATCCTATACCACTGGCCACATTCAGATCATCACTGTTCATCATCTGGGACCTTTTTTTTTTTTTTTTGTAAATTCACTATATAGCCCAGGCTAGTCTCAAACTCACAGCAATCCTCCTGCCTCAGACTCCTGAGTGCTGGGACTGCAGGGATGCGCCACCACACCCAACTCATCAAATGGGATCTTGTACCAGCCTCTGGAGTTCTTGCCCATTTCCTTCTATTTTTTCCTGATCTTCCCCACCCCCACCTCATCTTTCACATGCTAGATAGTAGCCCTTCAAGGCCAGCCAAATAGCTCAGTGGATTAAAGTGCCTGCAAGCAGGTGCAGGTGCCAGGGATTCAATTGCTGGGCCTGCAGTGCTGGCCCTACCCCTCAGGGCACATTGAGACTGGGCGTGGTGGCACATGCCTGTAATCCCAGCTCTTGGGAGGCTGTAAACAGGGATCACTACGAGTCTGATCTAGTAATGAGACCCCACACACCCTGTAGACCCTTCCCTAAAATACAAAAAGGAGGGAAGGAAGGAAGGAAGGAAGGAAGGAAGGAAGGAAGGTAGAAAAGAAAGAAAGAAAGAAAGAAAGAAAGAAAGAAAGAAAGAAAGAAAGAAAAGAGCGAGCGAGCGAGCAAATCAGACCTTCAGAAAATTCAGAGGTGGTCAGATCCTGAGCCCAGCGCCTTCAGCGCCTCCCAGCTTTGCTGTGGTGTTTGTGCTCCAGCTCTCCTCCAACATGTACTCCTCCTGCGCCAGTCCCTCAGGCTTCATCTTCTGAGCCTTATTCAAGCTTTTCCCTCCATCTGGACACCCTTCCCGTATCCACACCTGAACCCCTTCCCAAGGGCTGACCTGCTTGCAGTATTTTCTTTCTGCCTTGTCACATGGTTACCAAGCACCCAGGTTGTTTCCTTTTCCTTAATAAACGCTGCTGTGTGCAAAGCCTGGGGTTCACTCCATGGGCCTGTCCAAGCTGCCCAGGTATCTGCTGGACAGATCTTGTTCCACTTCCTTTCCCATTAGGGAACAGATTCAGCTGGGCATAGTGGTGCATGCCTATTATCTCAGTACTGAGAAGGCTGACGCAGGAAGATTGCCACATGTTTGAGGCCAGGCTGAATTATAAACCTTATCTCAAAAAACAAAAAATGTTTGAAACAGCAACACCCCGTGCCTTCAAATTAACAGTACATCTAAGAGCCAAGTATGGATTTGAATTTAGGCCCATCTGATTTCACATTCCAGGCCTTTCCCAACTCCCTTTGTAATGCTCCACAAGAAGGATGATGCATTGACAGAGGCAAAGAGGTATATGATGAGGCAAGGAGGGTGTAGTGTGAATGGTAGACTCTAGGCAGTGAGCAGCCGAGGATTCATTGAAAAATTCCTTCAACTTTTCTAAGGAGTCTTTTTCCTCCCCCCCCCCTTTTTTTTTGTGTGTGTGGGACAGGGTCTACAGGGTCTCACTGCATAGGTTGGACTTGTAGTGATTCTCCTGTTTTCAGCCTCTCAAATGCTGGGATTATAGGTGTATACCACCATGCCCAGTCTCAACCACTGTCTAAGCGTGCCCCGCAGCTGGGGCTGGCATGGCATGCCTGGGATCAAACCCCAAGTGGCTGTGCCCTGCCTAAGTAGGCACTTTAGTCTGCTGAGCTATCAGGCCAGCCCTCTTTTCCCTTTTTGTTGTATTTATTTTTTTTGAGATAGGGTCTCATTCAGGCTGACCCTGAACTTGCTATGTAGCCCAGGCTGGCCTCAAACTCACAGCAATCCTCCTGCCTCAGCCTCCTGAGTGCTGGGATTACAGGCGTGTGCCACCACTCCCAGATTCAGGGGCATATTTTCTTTGACTATTATGAAGTTAAAGGGGGCTGGCGAGATGGCTCAGTAGAAAAAGTGCTTGCCTGGCAAGCACAAGGGCCTGAGTTCAATCCCTGGTTCTACAAGAAAAAAAAAAAGAAATTAAAGCTAGGAACCATTAGACAAAGGGAAGGAGGAAAAATATCCAAATGTTTGAAAAACAAGAAAATCATTTCTAAAACTAGCCCAGGGGGCCTGGCCCTAGCTCAGTTCTTTAAGTGGCTGCTTCCCCAAAGCTGTCAGGCTCAGGTGGCCGAGGTTCGATCCCCATAACTCAAGCCCGCCAAACCTGCCCTGAAGGCATTCGGAGCAAAAAAAAAAATCCTTCTGCCTAAAACTAGCCCATATGGTGAAGACAAAATAATAATAAAATTAGGAAATATTTTGAATTGAATAATGATGAAACTGTGCAGCTAAGGAAGCTGAAATGCAGAGAGATTATGTAACTTGCCTGAGGTCGCAGGATAGGAGCCTGGCAAGCTGGTTCCCAGCTCTGCCTTGGGCATCACCTGTCACTTTAGGCTGTGATTTCTCCCTTTGTTCGGAGAACACAAACAAGAACTAAGGTGAAGGCACCCAGCTTAGGACCTTGGTGTTGAGGTGAAGAACCTTGATGTGAACAGGAAATGGGTGTAGCTGTGAAGAGTTGAAAAGGGAAATACCTGGAAGGCCTTGCTTCCTCACTAGCTTCTCAAAGAAAACTGAATAGGCCCTTCCACCCTGGTCTCATGAGCCATGCTTTGCACACCTGAGTATGGCTGCCTCCATCAGAGAAGGTGCCAAGGTGCAGCAACAGGCCCTTGCCATCTATAATAGAAACAGGAGCCAGTGCCTGGCATGGAGCTCCAGAGGTGCTGCCAGTGCCCACCAGCTGACAGAGTTGGGACACCACTATGGCTCTTTCTCTGTGTGCTGTAGAGTGCCTGCATGGGCGTCGGCAGAGCCACAGGAAGTAGCAGGACAAGAAGGGCCCCTGTCAGTGGTCAGGGATCCCGTGTGTCTCCCTGGAGCCCACCTGCCCAGTACTCAGTTACATGTCCTGTGCTTTGCCTGCGCCTTTCCTGGCTTCCTCTCATGCCAGCCTTTTCCTTCCCAAGGGCCACAGATTGTGCTCAGCGTGTATGGACCAGACGTGTTTGGGAACGACGTGGTCCGAGGCTATGGGGCAGTGCATGTGCCCTTCTCACCTGGAAGGTAGGGTGTCACTCTGACTGCTCCATCTTTTTCTGGGCCATTCTGTCCTTGAGACTGCGGTACCCTCACCTGGCAAGGCATCTTGGGCTCGGGCTGGGTATGCCTTGGAGTCCCCTGGGCCTGAGCAACTCAGCCTGGAGTGTAGCAGGTGTGGCCCAGAAAGATACCCACGTGCATGGCAGCCATGATGCCAGCAGACCCGAGGGTGAGAAGTGGGCTGTGCCCTTTGCGGGCTACAGTCACCTGCTCTTTGTAGGTTCCATGACATCCTGACAGAGGCTCTGAAAGCACGTCATTTCCGGTTACTGAGCATATTTTGAGTGTGAAAATACTTGTTTCAGGCACAAAAGGACCATCGCCATGTTTGTGCCAGAGTCTACATCTAAACTGCAGAAGTTTACAAGGTGAGAGTTCTATCTGAAGCCCACAGCAGCTCCTTCTGATACACTTGGTGAATGGCTGCCACAGTCCATCCCTTGTGATGTGCCCGGAAACCTTACCAGGCCTTCCAGTTATTCTGCCTCCTGTGGACAAATGGAACTGGGGTCTGGGGTTGGGGCTGCTTAGATTCACTGGGCTCCCTTATCCCTGAGAACATAAGGTTAGCCTAGTAGAAACAATCAGGAGGTCACTGTAGCCAATAAGTCACAAACTAGGGGACGAGGGTGGGGGATTCAGGAAGACCAGGGTGGCAGGCAGGCATGGGCCAGGATGTAGGGCCTAGGGGAGGGCTCAGGGACAGATGCCTGGATCAAACTCAGCAGGAAGCCCACTTATCCTTGACTTCCAAGTAGGAACTTGGAAGGGCCAGCTGACTGACTAGAACACCACTGTCCCCTGCAAGCTGGGTCAGTATCAGGGAGTGAGACTTGGTTAGAGCCCTGGTAGGCAGAGGAACATGTAAGAGCTCAGGAAGCCACAATGAACTCTGAGGCCTGCAGAGGGGAAGGGAAGCACAACATTCCCCAACGTGTGGGTGCCCAATCCTTTGAAGCATCTCTGGGAGGCCACTACATGGGAAAGGGCTTCTTAGCCAGATGCTCTGGGCCAGTGGCACCTAAAAGTGACAGTGTATACCCCCAGAGCCATCTGGAGCCTCTGGGGAATCAGTGGTCAGGTAGTGTCTGTGGGGTTAGGGAAAGGGAGGGGTTTAGAGAGCCCCACATGTCCATCCTGCCAGTGTTTGCCCTGCTTAATATTTCATGGCCCAAAGAAGGAGTTTGGGCTTTGCAATGAGAGGTCTAACACTTGTATCACTGCCAAAAGCAGGATGCTGGCAGTACCATGCTCCCTCAGGAGGCTCTGAGGAAGCCCCCGCTCCTGCTGCTTTCAGCTTCCCACAGTTGCCCATCTTCCTTGGCTTACGGGTGCATCTCTCGTCTCTATGCCTCCTCTATGTGTGTCACATCTCTCTGCATCCTTCCATGAGGACAGTGGTTACATTAGGGCTATCTCAGATAGTGTATCGCTAGGATTATCCCGGATAATCTAGGATAACCTCCACATCACAAGATCTTTAATATTGAACATTCATGAAGAATCTCTTTCCAAATAAGGTTGCATTCAGTTTCCAGGGTCAAGCATCTAGTGTCTAGTATCTCTGGAAGCTGTTAGGAAAGGAAGATGGTATGCCCTGAAGCTCAGGCCCTCTCCTGCTGGAAACAGCCCAGGCATAACCCCTTGCATCCAGGGTTAATGTCAGCCAGAGTGCTACAGTGCCCTGCTGACTTTTTGGCCTATCTCCTGCTCACTCCCCATCTGCCTGCTCTTTGTCTGCCTTTATTCTCAGACCACTAGGCCCTTGCCTGGAACATTCTCCCCCTAAACAGTCTGTCTGTCTCAACCCAATGAGCAAACCACATTGCAGACCCAAGGAAGATGTTGGTGAGCATGGGATCTGCCTCCACAGTGGAGCTGTGTCCCAGGCCTCAGTCCTCACAGCCACCTGTGAGATGAGTACTGTTAGAGCCTTGCTGCATGATGGGGAAATTGAGGCACAGACAGATGGTGCCTCTGCCCACCCACTGGGAGTCAGTAAGCAGCCCTCTCTCACTGTGGTCTCCAGTCCTGCCTTGAGGCCCTGTAGAAAGCAGCACATGAAGCCTGGGCCCTGCGAAGCATCTTGAAGAGTGCTGGTGCCTGTCCACAGAGAGGATACAAGCAGTACATTGTATTTCCATGGCTACCAAAGGGCTATGTCCAGTGTCTGATACCAGGAATCTCCACGTGGGACCTTGCTTATGAATGTTCTCCTGTGTCCCCAGCTGGTTCATGGGACGACGGCCTGAGTACACGGACCCTAAGGTGGTGGCACAGGGTGAAGGCCGGGAAGGTAAAGCATGATGCCCCAGCCCAGAGGTGGGCTGGAGCCTGGAGAGGGACCTAAGAGGCCCTTAGCACCCAGGGTTCCAGAAGCAGATGGGAGTGAAGGTCAAGAAACTGCGAGGCACCTGGCACCTGGCACTGCACAGGGAGATGGCCCAAGTTTTTCAGAGTGTTTTGCAGATGAGCATCTAGTTGGGACAGAGGGTGTTTCATGTTAGTCTGTCCCATTGTAGCCTCTTGACTTCCCAGTGAGGGACACGGGTAAGCATCTTCATCCCATTTCACAGAAGAGGGCACTGAAGCTGAGAGGTACGCAGAGCACCCTGGGTCTGCCTCTGCCCAAGCTAGCCCAGCTGATGCTGTCTTTCTGTCCCCAGTGACCCGAGTCCGCTCTCAGGGCTTTGTCACCCTACTTTTCAACGTGGTAACCAAGGACATGAGGAAGCTGGGCTACGACACTGGGCCTGCAGACACACAGGACATCCCCAGGTGAAGACACTGGCTTCCTGTACACAGCCATCCTGAGTCTGGCTGGGTAGCTTAGCAACCCCTCAATACACAAGGGCTGCTTTCTGGAGTCAGCTCCTGACCCAGCAGCCTAAAGTACAGCCTGGTGCTACGGGGGGCTGGGGACCAAAGTTCTATATATAATAAAGTCAGTTTTCAGACAGCTGGGCTGGGACTGTTTTCTCTTCCCCATGTCACCTCCATGCCTACATGGGAGCAGGCCTGCAAGACTCTGCCTCACCCTGAGCCTAGCAGAGGTGTGGTGCTGGGAGGCCGCTTGGGTGGCAAGCCAGGATGGTAGCTTTCACAACCCTAGTCCTGCTGTTCATGGCTGTCGCCTTTTCAGCACCTCACTATGGAGCTATATACTCTCCTGCTCAGTCCCTGGAACTGCTTGGGACAACTGCTCCATTGCCAGCAGCCTCCCTTGGTATAGAGAATCCTCTTAGCAGGAACTGGATAGTGGGGGGCCCTGGGTACAGGGACTCCTGGCCTGCCTCCTTCACAGCCTGAGGATGGGCTGGAAACCTTCCAGGATGGGAGGCTGCTGGTTAGAATGCAGCTCTCCATTAAGCTCCATAGGCCAGCACTCTGACATCTGTGAGGGTTCTGGGACACCACAGGAAGGCCTGAGATGAAGCCTCTTCTCCATGCACACTGCTTCCCCTTCTACAGCCTCAGGTGAGCACTGTGGACAACCTACCATAGAGCTTCACTTAGTGCATTTCCACACCACTTCCTCCTCCAACCCAGCTTCCAGCAGCCCCAACCTCAGACTACACTGTGTCACTGACAACAGGCCTACATGCTTTTTTGTCCAGCTATTAGCGACACTGCAGCATACAAGAGTGATCCCTCCAAAAACCTGGCCTCTACCCCCTCACTTACACTGAGCCTGACCTCTACCTTTCAGCCACCAATTTCTAGGGTTAGAGCTGCTTGTAACCAGCTGGAAATGGGTGGCTGCAAGGAAGAGGCCAGGTTTTGTTTTGGTACTGGGGATGGAACCCAAGACTAAACTGCATCCTCAGCCACATGCAGAGTTTTGACAGATGCACAAACCAGCTTGAAATGAGGCTCTGAATGCCCCTCCAGGATGACTGTGAGGTCAATTATGTGGTTGCTGAGCTGACGGCTTTAGGGTAGAGACAGAATTTGCAGTGGGGGTTGGCTATTGTTTTGCTGTCACAGTAAAGAGATGAACTAACTCAGGAAGCAACTTCCCAGTTTGTAAGCAAAAATAGGACAAAAATAAAATCTTATAAACTGTTAGGGCCAGCAAGATAGCTCAGTGGATTAGTACCTGCTTAAGCAGATGCAGGGACTGGGGTTCGATCCCCGGCTTGCTGTGCCAGCCCCAGCCCCGGCCCCTGGTGCACGCTGAGACAGCGATTGAGACCTGGCATGGTGGCACGCACCTGTAATCCCAACACTTGGTAGACTAAAAACAGGAGGACCACTACAAGTCTGATCTTTGTAATGAGACCCTGTACTAAATACATTAAAATATGTAAATAAAAGTAAACTTGATATCAAAAGGCTAAAAAAGCCAAGAGCAGTGGCACACATCTGTAAACTCAGCTACTAGGGAGGCAGGAAGATTGCCAAGTTCAAGACCAGTCTGGGAAATACTTAGTAAGATCCTATCTCAAAATAAAACCTATGCCACTCAGTGACAGAGTGCTTACCTAACATGTACAAGGTGAAAAAACACTGCCAAAAAAGGTTGAAAAGGGAGACTTTCTAGAATTGATGATAAAGTAAGATTGAAAATTGCTTTGGATAATAAAGACCTAATTTAAACACAAAACTAGTTAAACACAAAAACTTTTTTTGGTAAACAGCAGGTGATGGGGTGGCCCTCCCATGGTGGTCCAGATGCCTTCTTGCTAATTCTGCTAACTTGAAGTGAGAGACGGCAAGAAGGCTAAGGCAGGGCATGTCTAAGAATCGATGAACGTTTGCACTTGTTATCCACTGTATTTCTATTGACAAATTACTCCAAAACACACTCCATTTTTATGGCTCATGATTCTTTTTTTTAATTTTATTTATTTATTTATTTATTTATTTTGTGTGTGTGTGTGTGGCCAGCTCAGCCCACCAGGGGGTGGGGCTGGCTGGCATGCGGTGCTGGGGGATCGAACCGAGGTCCCTGTGCTTTGCTAAGCTTGTTCTAAGTAGGTGCTTTAGACCACTGAGCCATCTCACCAGCCCCTGGCTCATGATTCTTTAGGTGAAAAGCTCAGCTGGGCTGCACCACCTGACTCTCACTCCTACAGTGCCTGCTGCCCAGAGCATGCCCATGTCCTGCCACATGGCCCCTCCACATTTGAACTTCATGCAGCCCGCCAGCTCAGCTTCCAGCTGATCAAGTCATGAGAACCAGGCTATGTGCACACCACATACAGGTATTGAGCCCTGGCCTGCCTCAGGCCTGGTGTCCCATCAACCCAGCAGCGTAGGAGAGGACTACTAGGAGACAGGCCCCTGGTGATGGTGGTGGTAGTAGTGGTAGTGGGGGTAAGCAAAGTAATTCTAACCAAACTAATGCCAGATATTTGTACTTGGAACTAATGGGAAACAAAGAATAAGACTGGCAAGATGTGGAGGGAATGTGTTTCCACAGGAGTTGTGCACCCACACCAATGCCTTTGACTTCAACAGGTCCAGACTAGGAACACACACAGGCAGCAGACAGAAGTGGAGTGCTGCCTCCCTAACCCGCTGAGCTTTAACATCCACCTTGGCTATAGTTAAGGGGATATAAGATAGGCCAGGCCTCCCCCATAGGGCAGAACCTGAGACATCAGGCAACACCTTCCCCCCAGAAGAACCACAGCCCTCTTAACTTCTTCCATCCTTTCAGGCAGTGCTATCTCAGAGGTCTGGCACTTTCAAGGACCAATGGTAGTCCATGCCTCCCACTTTGCTCTCCCATGAATAGTCTTACCTGTGAAAATCATCCCTACTGCAATGTCTCCTTTCTGTCAAGGTGTGGTGACCATGTCTGGCTCAGCCTGCCTTGTTGAAGCCCCTCCACCCATCACACCCCATGGGGACCCTGAGCTTTGAGCTGGAAGCAGGGACTAATGAATGGGTACTTCCAACCCATGTGTAGAGTCAATGTTGTGGTGACCCAAGGGCCAGCTGCAACAGCACCTTGCAATGTGTAAAGCAGGCCCATTTCCTATTCCCCCTGAGCAGAAAGGAAGTTGGAACTACCTGACAAGGTAGCATGTGGCAGCTCCTCCCACAGCTCTTCAGTGGCACGAACATGAAGTACAGAACATGGAAGACCTGTGAGGCCTGGCCTTGCAGCTGGCATACTCATCGCTACCTCCTTCAAAGCAGACTCCATCATTAGAAGGTAACAAGGAGTAGAATGCAGGAGAAAGGGATTTGGGCACTTCCCCAGCATACTCTTCAGACCATCTGTGGCAGTGGCCCTCTAAAGGTAGGTTTCCTACCCTCCGTCCCAAAGGTTCAGGGCCACCAGATCCAGGCAGTGGCCTAACACGTCAAGCTGTTCTGGGCAGAAACTGGCTCCCTCACCTTTCCAGGACTCTCCTGCAGCTCAAGATGGGTAAAGGACACACCCAAAAACTGCATCATGATACAAATGATAAATTATATTTATACAGTAAATAAGTATCAACAGTCAACACAAGTTCAAAACCAGCCACCAACCCCTAGGACTGAGAAATGGCTGGGTGACTTCCTCCACCATGGTGCTCATCAGGAGGGGCACGGTGGCACGTGTGCAACACGTGTGGCAGCGGCCGGTGACTTCATGATCAGTGCAGCAGGCAACAGGAACAATATGCACTCGGGATGGCCTGTGCCAGGAGGTGGGGCAAGGGGCTATCTTCTTGGGTCCTGGTGGCCCAGTGGTTCTTGGGGCCTCAGTCATGTCAGGAAGGGCTTTTGTCTATCACAAAAGCATCACTGACCCCAGGAGCTGGGTCTGGTGTGCTGACCTGTAGGCTGCCAGGCTCCACACCACTGGAGAGAAAGCACCATCATGGGCAGGTGTCCTCCTCCACAGCCACACTGCCTCTCCCACTCCCCTAGCCTTCCTGAAGGACACCAGAGTCTAAGGCCAGTCACAGGCCTGCAGTTCCAGGAAGGGTAGCTGGTTGGGAACTTGGGCCTGGAGCAAGGGAGAAGAGGGGGTGGAGGGGTGGACCTCAAACAGGACTCGGAGCAGTGCTCACTCAAGAGCCGTCATGGCCTGCTTGTAATCCAGGGACCACTGTGATCCCTTCTGAGCTGGCACAAAAGGTCAAATCTCTTTCTGGAACCAGAGGGGCGGGGGAGCTGGAGCTTAGAAGTTGGTGTTGCAAAGTGAGCCAGGAAGACCTGCTAGGCTGCCAGGACTCAGGGGGACTGTCCCTTCCCTGGGGAAAGACAAGTCCTCTCTGGTCTATAATTTGGGACTTAATACTTTTTTCACAGTGGTGAGTAGGGTGAGGACAGCAGGAGGTTGGAAGAGGGAGATTGTATTAGTGCATGTTTGTTAAAAATCTATCCTAGGTGACAATTTTCTCATCTCCAAAATAAGATGACTACTTCTCAGCCTGCAACCTTTGTCTGGAGCTGGCAGGTAGGTGGTTCAAAGCAAGCCCTGGTCCTTTACCCCTACCTCAGTCTGGAGACTGTCCCCAGGACCCACGGGCACAGCCGCCCCTCCCACCTAGGACATCACTGTTTCCACTAATCCCATTGTTAACCTGAGTTAGAGGTGAGCACAGATGCAAGGCTAAGGTGCTTCCTCCACCACTGACACACTGTAAACAGAAGTCCCTATTAATCCCTGTGTGCCTTTAATTAAAAAGGAATTAGTTGATAAAAACTGGTGAGTCATATTCCTATGTTAGATTTGTTTCCTTTATCTTTTATGAGGATGGTATACTAGTAAGAAAGTCTCTCTCTGGATCTAGCCAAAAGGGCTGAGAGCTGATTGGTAGTTCACCAAAAAAGGGAGACAGAGAAAGGAAAAGGCAACTAGAGGCTACAAGTTTCTGTCACTGGTAGAGGTTTGTTTTTTTCCTTAAATAAACATCTTTTTTGTGTAATCAAATTCTCATACTTTTTCCTATAAAGAATTTGCTTTAGGTTTTCCATAAGGCATGTTTTTGTCATCCAAACATCTCTTCCTTTTTAAGTTTTCTTACAGAGTTAAAACCATAAATAAGATTTAAACCACTAAAATGACATGTGCTAAGATCTTAATTCAGCCAGACCTGGTCAATTCTATCAAAACTAGACAGTTAAATAAGAACCACGTTATAAAAATATTAGCCAAAAAAAGACTATTAGATAATTTTGCAAACTCAAATATGAAACTGTACTAAACAAAATATGTGCAAACGTGTATAAGCATAGAGCCACGTGGCAGGGTTATGCTCAGATTAGTTTTAAAGCTCGCTCTAGTGGATTTAATTCAAAAGTTGTCCATGGTAGCAGTGTTTACTTTGAACTCACACACTGAGTCAAAGGAAAATAAAATATGCACAACCACTTCTCCAAAGGTCAGTGTCAAATGGGGCTGGCACTTCATCCTGTCCATACCCAGGACTGGGGCTGGGTCATGGGGGACAAAGACAAGGCGACTATCCCACGTTCTGGGCTAGGCAGCGTCTAGGGACCCTTGGGCTGAGGCTGGGGATGAGGACAACACTGACAATTTCATTCTGCATCTGCAGCCTCAGAGGAGTCTGGTCAGGCCAGGGAAAAGCAAGTGGTCCTGCCTCAGATGGCAAAGACACTCCACACGCCACTCAAGTCTGAGGGCCAGGGCTATAAAGGGCAGTCCTCTTAGCAAGAAGCCAGTGCCAAAGGCCCTAATACCCCACTTCACACTCAGCCACCAACCCAAACAGTCCTCGCTTAGTATCCTCTGGCAAGAGTGCTCCGGGCATTTGCTCTGGGTGAGTCCCAGGCCCAGAGCACTAGAGAAGGAAAGGGTTGGTTGTGCCGGTGGCCTGTGCTGCTGATGGAGGCATGCTCACACTGCCCACCATGTTCATCGTTGTGGGGCCCAGTGGTGGCAAGGTGGAGCCACCAGCCCCCAGAACTGGATGTGGGGCTGCTGAGGTCATGGGTGCCACAGCCATGGGCTCCACCCCTGTGCTAGGCCCAAAGGATGTGCTGCTCCCCAGGACCGGGCTCCCTCTCAGTTGGTTCAGCGTCAGTGGCTGGGGCTGGTTCACCTGGAAGGGGTTAATGGGGGCCGAGGTGGTGGTGGTACCTGGGGAGAGAGCAGGAGGACAGAGGTTGAAATGTTAGGAAAGTAGTGTCCCCTCCAGTGGTAGGGTACTTCCACCCTCAAGAAACATAGCTCTCCATCTGTAGAGAGCTATGTTCTGATTTTTATTTTTGAGAGAGAGTCTTACTATATATTTCAGACTGCCCATTAAATTCACTCAGCGTCCCAAATGCTGGGAATATAGATGTGTACCACCACATCCACCTCCATGTGGATTCTGAGCCTCAGATCAGGACTACATATGTTCTGGTTCCTGCTGTACCCTGAGGGTCCTCGTTAGTAGTGGCTATATCCATAGGAAACATTAGCAAGCATTTGCTGACTGCATGAACTGTCCTGTTGGGGGCCAGGAACTACAGCTGTGAGAAGCCTATGACTTGTCCAGGATCATAGAGCTAAAAAAGCGCTAGCAGCATGCTAGACTCAAGATCCCCAGGTCCTCTGCAGGGCTAGTGCCCAGAATGCTGTCAGCAGCAAATAGCTGCTCTATGTCCTCACTGTATCTGCCCAGCTAGAGCCCCACATGCCTGGGAGAGAGGAGGGCTTGGGGTGTGCAGAAAACACAGCATGGCTTTCTTAGCAGTATTCATGTGTCACCCTGGGACCAACATAGCAGCACTGTGAAGACTCGGGGAAGCCTGCTGACCAGCCCTGTCTCACTCTGTTTCCCACCTCCCTCTAGCAGAAGTGTCTTCCACCCATAGCAAAACAGCTAGGGAGTCTTTGCTGAGAGATGTGGTGGTGACAGTTCCGAATCTCCAGCCCAGCCCATTTGTGCCTGCCAAAGCAGCATGCTGGTCAAGAGTGGCCCAGTCACCACCATGGAGAAAAGGCTGTTTGCTGTTCTTTGATACTAAAGGGGGAAGGGGACTCATCTCCTAGGTCTGACATGGGGGCTCTGAGAATCACCACCCCTGGTTCATAGCTGAGGAAAAGAAGACCGGAGAAGGGTAGCTGTCCAGCCAGGAAAGGAAACCAGAACTGCATCTCTGGTCCATGCAACCATGACAGCCAGGACTACCTGTGTGGCCTGGAGAATGGTCCTAAGTGTATCTGAACCTCCTTCATCCTGGCTATGGCCCTAAGGCCCACAACAGGTTCAATGTCCCACAGCTCCAAGATATCCTCAGAGATAAGGACAGAGCCATGCACAGGAGCTCCTCTGGACCCTGACTGCTGAGGGTTGAGGTTAACAGGAACTACTGGATAGGAACAGGCTTCAGGCTGATGGAGGTCCTCAGGCGCTAATTCAGCTCTACCCATGGAGCTACCCTCCCCTTGGCTAGCATATTCTTCCTAACCTAGGCCTCATGTGTGGGACCCAGCAACTCCACACATTCACTTCAACCTAAGGCCACAGCCTAGGCCCTCTAGAGCCAATGGCCACTACTCTGTAAAGCCTATGCAGGTCTCTGTTCCTTTTTAGCCTGGGGCCTGGTCAAAGGCTCACACATTCCTGCAAGACCTTGGAGGAATCTGCCAAAGGAAGAAGAGCTTCATAGGAAGAGGTCATCTAGGCTGGTTGGAGAAGGAAAGGGGAGGTGGATACTCTAGGCAGGAAATGGAGTGTCATGCCCCAGAGGTAAACAGGAGTCTGTCAGGTTTGAGAATCACAGAGCTCAGTGCTGAGGATTGATGTACAAGGGGAAGGAAGATGAAGGGGCCAGACTAGAGATGCCAGAGCCAGAAACAGTAACCCTGGATATTGAATCAAGCAGCTGAGGGCCTGTTCTATAGCCAACATGGAGCCCCTAAAGGGCACAGTGCAGAATTCTGCAGGAGGGGAATTGGACTATAGACTATTGGACCCTTAGGCCGCCTAGAGAAGGGCTTATGTTAACAGGCCACATTAATTTCTCCCCACAGGGCAGATATTGGGTGGCAAACTCTAGCCCTTCCTCACACCAGCACTCTGCCTGCCCCCACCTGGCCCAGAACCAGTACTCCCTCCAGGGTCTCCCTGCCAGGGCTACCTAGCTTCAGTCTGGTTAAGTCTCAACTGAGAAGTCTCCTCATATCCTCTTTTAAATAGCAGCTTCCATGACCCACCCCATGTGTCCGTGAAGAGGGATGGTTGTATATTCCTGAGCTCCTAATGGTTCTGCTCTTTTTCGACCAGAAGTAGGAACAGCTCCTGGAGCTTTGGCTGTAAACAGAACATGGTAGGAACAGCCCTCCTCCCCACCCCCTAAGTGGAAAGGAATCAGCTAGAGGGCCATCACACTTGCAGTTTAAGGGTAAGCAAAGCAAGCAGCCAGATGAGGCATAGGCATATTCCTACCTGGCGCTAGGAAGGGGTTAAGGGACTGGGCCGGTGGTGTTGGCCTGGTCACCAGTGAATCCAAGTTCACCAAAGCAGCATTGGGGCCCAGGAATGACTCGGGTGTTTTCCGGGCACCACTGGGCTTGCTCGAGGCAACAGTCAGGGGCTGAGACTCAAAGGGGTCAGGGCTTGTAGCTCCATTGTTCTGGGATGGCAGAGAGGCCGCAGACTCGGCTGTAAGACAAGGACACACATGGCATGGTGAACATGAGTTCAGGCCCCAAGAACACAGACATTCCTGATGTCAAAGTTCCCAGCACAAACATATGGCATACAAGACATGATGTCCCCACCAGTGTTCTTTCCAACAGTCCCAAGTAGAGACACATAGCCAGGGAGCAGGCAATAAGCCATTTGTTCACATAACCAAACACCAAAATGCAGGGACATCTGAATAGTTAATGAAGAAAAAAAAAAGAAAGAAAGAAAAAGAAAAACCTATACAAAAGTTAAAAAAAAAAAATTAAAAATAACATATACAGAAAAATCCTTCAAAAATGTTAGGATGTTATTTTGGTTGGTGAGGCATGGATAATTTTTTGTATCATTCTATATTTTCACTTCCTACAATGAACACAAATTTATTGAGAGTAAAAAAAAAAAAAAAAAAAGAAAACTGTTGTAAAATTTAGTCAACAGAGGATGTGCTGAAGTTGGTTGGCGGGGATGTTCCTCTGGCTGGGATGCACGGTGGCTATGTACTCAGTTGTATAATCACACTCTCACTCGGTAATGCAACTTGTATGAACCCAGCCTCAGGAAATAATGCAAAATGTGAGCCAGATTTAAGGACAAATGTTCACCACAATGTTATTTACTTTGACAAAACAGGAAATGAATCTACAATGTCTTTCCCCAAAATGATGATTAAATACAGTGGTGCTTCAGTTGATGAACTTAATTCTTTCCATGATTCTGGTCACAAACCAAGTTAGAAGAAAACTGAATTAAATTCAATGGTTAAGTTCAATATTAACCTTATGGGCCAGGGAGATAGCTCGGTGGACTAAAATACCTGCTTAGGCAAGCGCAGGGACCTGGGGGTTTGATCCCCAGTACCACATGCTGTGCCAGGCCCTCCCCCAGGGTGGGCTGAGCCAGCCAGAGTCCAGGATTGGTAGTGCATGCCTGTAATCCCAGCGCTGGGGAGACTAAAAACAGAAGGATCACCATGAGTCCAAGCTATATAGTGAGACCCTGCAACAACCAAATACATTTAAAAAAAAAAAAAAAATTAACCTTATGGAAAAATTTGATTCAGTTCTCCTCCAATTGGGTTTGTAATCAGAACTGTGGAAAGGGCTGGCCAGATAGCTCAGCGGATTAAAGCACCTGCTTAGGCAGATGATGGGACTGGGGTCCAATCCCCTGTGTACCATGCCAGCCCTGGCTCCAGCCCCACCCCTAGGTCATACTGAGCCAGCGACTGAATCCTAGTGCTTGGGAGGCTGACAAGAGGAGAATCACTATGAGTCTAATCTGTGTAATGAGACCCTGTACTAAATAAATAAATAAATAAATAAATCAAACAAACCTGTGGGAAGAACTAAGTTTGTGAACTGAGGTACTACTGTAAATTATTGGCAAGCAATCTGTATATGCTGCCAAAGTAAGCACTATTACTGAGCAACTTTTTAAAGTTATGGAACATGTATTCTGTTATTCTATAAAAACCAAGAAGAGACAGGACTTGACTTTATCTGATACTGTGAGTTAAACAAAAAAGACTAAGCCTGTAATCCCCAGCACTCGGAAGGCTCAAGCAAGAGAATCACTGTGAGTTTGAGGCCAGCCTTAACTACATAGTGAGACCCTGTTCCCCCCCCACCAAAAAAAAACTTCCAAAAACCCAAAACAACAACAAAAAAGACTGCTAAGAGTTCAGGGGGAAAAAGCTGCATGTGGTAGCATAGGCCCAGCAGGCCTGTGGTTGCTGTTGGGGGCTAGTGGGGAACAGAAGAGACAGGGGCAGGGGAGTAGGCAGGAGAAGGGGTGGGAAATGGGGAAGGCAGTATGAAAAGCAGAGGGAAGAAAAAGCTAAGAGGCATGATTAGAAGGTGAGGAAGGAAGGAAACTGACCAGGACTGGGGTCTCCTATGCAGCAGCTGTCACCTGGGGCTAAGGGACGAAGTAGGCAAACACTGGCCTTATCCATGCCCAAAGGGAGGTTGTCTGGGAAAAGGAGATGTCTTTGGAGATGAGAAGCTCACGGGAAGCAGGTGACTGGACAGGACACATGGGGTGGGCCCACAACACACTGGAAAGATGGAGTAGGAATAGGGCATATGCATGCAGCTGAGTTGTTCTGGCTGACCTGGACAGAACAGCTCAAGGGAGAGGGTACCATACACAAAAAAGGTACTCCACATGAGGGAAAGCTAAGAGAAAAGAACCTCATAACTTTTCATTGTCAATGTGTGAACTCCCAGAATTAAAAGTTTCAGGCTTTCAAAAAAAAAAAAGTTTCAGGCTCTCAAGATCAAAATGCAAAGAAAATGCATGAAATTGGCAGATACGAAACCTATTATTTTTGCAATAACTGAGTGGTCAAATGTACAGAATATTATGGAAACTACCTTTACCTACCTGTTTTTTTTGTAGTTCGGAGGTTGTCAAATTCAGAGAAGTCATCTTTAACTGTACCATTGAAATTATTGAAGAGCTCAAAGGACCCTGTGGGGACACAGAGGCCAGTAACTGAGGGCATCCAATGCGACTCCACAGGGCTACAGGTGCCCAATCTATTCTGAGGTGGGGAGGCCTCTCCCACTCATTCCACCTCCTAGGGAAGAACTCACTGGTGGACTGGGAAAAGGACAGCAGGGGGTACAGAGACCTCAGCCTCCCCATGCAAAAGCAGGGGCACCAGCCTCCATTAGCCCCATCATAATGGAAGGTGCTAGTGAAGGTACAGACACACTTGTGAAATGAGTGTCAGTACGAAATGACTTGAAAGAGTGATCAAAGTCAACCCACTGGTCTAGGGTGAGAACTGAACCATGGCTGGGGTCCCCATGTAGCACCTCTCACAATACCCTTTGGACAAGCCCCTCGGAGATGAGGGTGCACAGGTGGCTTGTAAACTCCTACTTTCTCTAGGGTGCTCAGGACACAGGGATCAAGATCAAAAGCTAAGGGGGTTAGAGGAGCAAATGCAGCAAACTAATAGGCCACTGCCAGGGAGAAGTGAAGCTGCTGGGCTTGGGGCTCTCACCCGAGGCAGATACAGGCTTGCCAGCCGAGGGTGCACCCCAGGCATCCGTTGTTTTCCCAGTACTGGGGGCAGGTGGTTGTGAAGCTGCCCAGGGGTCAGAGCTCTGGGGAACAGAGTGTGTGCTGGCTCCCCATGGGTCCACAGAGGCCGCTGGCTTGGCACCTGCAGAAAGGTAGTGTCAAGACTTAAGAGATGGGGGCTGGTGAGATGGCTCAGTGGTCTAAAGCACCTACTTAGAACAAGCTAAGCTAAGCAAAAGCACAGTGACCGCGGTTCAATCCCCAGCACCACATGCCAGCCAGCCCCGCCCCCTGGTGGGCTGAGCTGGCCACACACACACACAATAAATAAATAAATTTAAAAAAAAAAAACAATAAAAAAAAAAAAAGACTTAAGAGATGCCTTTGGAAAATTCAGAGCAGGTGGGATGAGGAAAGGATACCCTAGTGGGCCACACTGGAGTTTCTGCCCTCTGTCAGGTAAGGAAGTCACCCAGTAGACTGTTTTCCCCCCTCTGGGAAGACCAGGGAAATCTCACAGCTGAGATCTTCCCATGCTCCCTTCCATACTCCGGGCTAATATTACAAGGGGCTGCCCAGGCCAGCCCCACTTCAACAGACTATGGGACAAGCCTCTCTCCCTAGAACCCAGGCTCTACCCAAAAGGAGCCTGACAGTTTTCCCACCCCACCCTGGCTGTCCAGAGCCCCTGGAGGCACTTCTCCCACCTGCTTTGAGTGGTTTCTGCTTTTTGAAGGAGTATAAGATGGCTATATACTGAATAAAAAGAGAAATAATAAAACAAACAGCTATGTATGCATTCACTACCCGCTGAAGCAAAAAAAAATACTTTCAAACTGTAAGTGGTAAAATCAACTTAATGGGTCACAAACTTATTTTTTTTTCCTTTGAAAATGGATCTTGCTATGTAGCTCAAACACCTCTTGACCAACCCTTCTGCCTTGGCCTTCTGAATGCTGGGATTATAGGCATATGCCACCACATTTAGCTCACAATTATCTTTCTTTGAATTGAGAAAACCTACATACATCTAAAGTATCAGTCTTAACATGTACATCTTCTAGTCGCGACAATGTTCACCACACTTGAACATGCTACTTACTGTATACTATCTTTGTAGCCAGCAATACTGCTGTGATTAAGGATTGGAAGTTATTCTAATTATTGAATCTAATAATTATTCTAATAACTGTCAATCCTAATAATTTATCTACAAAAATGTCTTAGATCACCTGCCAGTCACAAAAAAGTAAAAAGGCTGGATATTACCTCTGTCTTGCTCTTTATCTCACAGGATCAATTTCTACCATTTTAGCATCAAGTATGTAAGCTATCCACTTTTCCTCCTTTTGAAAGCCTTTTTTTCCCCCCAGAGTCAGGGATTGAACTCAGGCCCTTGAGCTTGCCAGACAAACACTTATTCAACTGAGCTATCTCCCCTGCCCTTTAGAAGCCTTTTATCAGGTTATGGAAATTCTTCATTAGTCTAATTTTGCTAAGAATTTTGCATTAAATGGCTGATGAATGTTATTAAACTGTTTCTGCCTCATTAATATGATCATGATTTTTCTTTTTATCTGTTAATTGGTACATTAATTTTCTAATGACTCAGTTCTTAGCAAGTTTTTCATTATTTTTTCTTACTTTCCTGATTTTGAAATTCTTTCAGTAGAATTTTTGTATTAATAGTCATAAACAAATGTAGCCTGGGGCAGGGAGATAGCTCAGCAGCATGAGCACCTGCTTGGCAAGCACAAGGTCCTGAGTTTGAACCCTGGTACTGCCTAAAATGTTTGCTCTCATACTATGTGTCAGGCTCTCATGTCCTGGTATGACAGACACATCAAATGAGTAGGAATATACCCTGTTTTCTTGTTCTCTGAAGCTTATACAGAAGTGGAAATGTTTCTTGAATGTTGTTAAAAATTTTGTCTATAACACCCTCTGAGTAGATTTGAGGAGGGAACATAGTTTAAGTACTGATTTAATTTCTTTCATGATGATAGAGCTGAATCTAGCTGGGCTTGGTGAAGCACATTTGTAATTCCAGCACTTTTGGAAGCTGAGGTTGAGTTAGAGGCCAGCCTGGGCTACAAAGTGAGTTCAAGGCAAGCCTGAAAAGCACAATAGAAAGCCTGTCTCAAAAATACAAAAACAGGGCCGGCAAGATAGCTTA